TTTTTAAGCATCTCATTTTTGCAAAGTAAGTGTAACAAATTTAAACCAACTTAAAAGTTGGTTTTCATCTTATATATACTTCTTCATAGAACTTTAGACAAATTCTCTAAGATACATTTTATCTCTGTGTTCCATGACAAAATGCAGCTAAAATTATACTTAGCACATTGTAGCAGATTAAGAATGATGAGCTTGCATTCCCTCATTCATTCACCTACCATGCTAGGTTACAACCACAGGGATACAGACAAGGAGTCCAGAAATGAGGACCATGTATTTCCTTACCTTCAATGACTTCATATCCAATTAAGAAGCAAAAATGAAAACTGCATGATCAGAAAGTACATAGGATACATGGGAAACACATGGAGTTGTAGTAGGAAAAGCAAGTCAAATTAAGTCAAGAAATATTATCTAGTTAAAGGAGCTAATCTCTCAACGAAAAAGGCTACAAAGCTTGGAGCATTGAGACAACTCCAGCAGTCTGGCAGAGCTGGATTTGAAGAGTGTAGGCAAAGATTGTGCATTTAACATGGCAGATATAAGAATTAGTAAGGACTGCCTGATCAAGAAGGACTTTCTATGCCACATCTCATATGCCATGTGCATTTACAACATTACAAGTAATGAAGATTTTAAACTGCAGGCAATGGACAGTCATTGGCACACACAAATGGAAACATTGTGGTTAGCAAATTAACATTTTAGGAACATTACTCCAAGAATAGGAAACAAGCAACACAAAGGGGAAGATGCTGGCTGGCACAAGACGTTTCTTTAGGTACAAAATGAAGCCACAGAAGTGAATGTAAGTAAATATGATGGTTCTGGAGAAATCGGAGAAATGTATTTAGTCAGACTAGAGAATAATTAACTGAAAAATTAAGGAGACAGTAACAAAAAGTCACAGGTCTACACTTGGAATCACTGGGCTAAGATCATGCTACCGCCTAAAGAAAAGTAAGAGAAATAGGTCATATGAGCGTGGAGAGGACACAGCACACTTGGGGTATCTGATATGGTCATATGCAGCTAGTGGTCACCTGTCATTGCACGGAAAAGCTAGACAAGTGGCCCATCTGGATCCTTTCAGAAGATTAACAGATGAGCGGGGGATAGATCTTTAATCTGGAAACAAACTGAAATGAGTCATTGTGACGTCAGTAAAAGCCAATGTTACTGAAAGGTTGAGATAAGCTGTCTGTGATCAAATGTATCTACTCCTTAAGACAGAGGGAGTCAGCATGTTGACATAGGCCTATACATAATACTAGTATTGTGAAGTAGAGTGAGAAAGATCAGCTACATATTAAGTTCAAGGCCAGCCTGTATAACATGAGATTCGAATAATCAATCCTTAGAGAATTCATTTTACAAACCTCATGTAGTATGTTCATAGATGTTACTAAACATGTGTTTCCCACTCACACATTTAACTACAACATATTTCAGACATAACATATCACAGACTTGGGATACAATGTTGACCATAATGCCAAGTTCATCCTTATCTATTTTCCAAGTGATTTGTGGGTGGAGAGTGAAGAGTAAGTACCTAAATAGTCAAAAGAAATTGTCAATATTAAATGGAATTTAAATATAAGGTTATTAATAAAATTAAGCTCATAGGCAAGTTCCCATATTGATTATGAAACCCAATTCTGAGGATAAAGTTATCTTTTCAGTTATTAGGATATAATATACATATATTTTCTCATAAACATGTTTGCTAAAGAGTCACCTCTCCCATCGCTCATTCTTAGGAAATAATTCTTAAACCATCATAGCTCTTGGGGGGAACTGCTTATGTTTTGTTTTGCTTTGGATTTTTGAGATATCATTTCACTATGTATATGTAACCTATGATGACCCTGGACTCCACAAAATCCCTCTGCGTTAATCTTTCAGGCTAGGACAGTACAAGTGTGCCACTATGTCAGACTTACTAACATTTGCATATGATGACTTTCTTTGATAACTGAAATGAGAAGAAGTAATATGAGTCCAAAACCTTGAAGGGGGAGCCATAAGGATGACAAGCATGACAGAAACACACAGGGTGTAACATGACAGAACACAATGTAGGGCAACACCCTGACACAGCATCTTATCTACAAATGCAATTGGGCTCCACATGTTTATTTCAGTACAAAAGAAGATAATAAACTGTTCAAAAATCAAATAAAAAAAATCAAAATTAAATTAAATTTAAAAAACTATTCAATTTGTAGTCAGTGACTTCTTCCAGGCAATACACCTGAAGTATGGACAGAAATTAATAGGTCTAATAAAACAAATTAGAAGAATAAATAGGATCCAAACCAAGGATCATATAAAGAGGAACATTTGATGCACACACACACACACACACACACACACACACACACACACACAGTAAGATACTAAAGTGGAGAAAAGGAAAAGATTTATGTTCAGGAAAAAAGGCTACAGAAAGGAGAGAGAATAGTGGTGTTGTAAAGTATAACCTATTGAAACAGAAAATGAATTGCCATCACTCAGGAGGAAAGTTAGTATGCACTTTGCAAGGACAGCTCGGGTGAAGGCACTGGTCCCCAAGCCCAATCACACAAAAGAAAGGGAGATGACTCCTGGACAATGTCTTCTAACCTCCATGTATGTACATACACATACTCAATAAACAAATGTAAAAAAACTATGAAACGTACACCAAGTTAATGATAAAACCAAACTTCATATATAGTTTGTGATTTGTTCATCAAGTCATAAAACAAAACAAGAAGATATAAATTTGAGAAGTAGACCAGTCGGGGCCATCATGGGAGTGACAGTGAAAGAGAAAGAGGCCTGAGGAGACAGAGTAAACAGAATGGACTAAGTACATATATGAAGCTCACTGGACAATGTAATAAATTTTTTAGCTTATGATGTTTGTAAACATGGCTTTGAGTATGGCTTTCATATTCACTGCCAAGAAAGAATTTTCAACTGTAAGAACACATAATACATGAAATAATTTTCTAAAATGTACAGATATTCATTTCTAACTTGTAACCCAAAACTTTTTTCTCACTATAAAATTTTGTGTGGTAAATTAAACTGAAATACAAAATTTATGAAAGAGAGCATGAGATAATTCAGGGTTCTCCAAAGTATAACTATTACTACTAGCAAGCTCAATTTTGAGTATTTTATCATCATAAAAGGCTATCTTAGCTTATACTTCTATACTAAGTTGAAAATAAATCACATTGAGCAGCAGATAATCAACTGTAGTTACCAATATATTTGCCATTTTATTGAACTAAAAAAAGAACAGCCACAAGAACTACAGCATTCTTACACTGCAATGGTGTCTCTGAGACAATCTTACTAGTTACCTGTAAGATCACAAGGGCATTCTCTATGGAGAGGTCATCAGATGGGAGGCCTTCACTTTTCCAGATCAGCTGCTCACTTTCAGTGCAGAGAAATCTCCTTAGATCGAATTCTGAAAAGCCAAAGACATCAAGCAGTCACCATACCAGCCAGCACCCGACAGAAAGACTGGTACCATAGCAGCCAGCACCTGACAGACAGACTGGGCACTATGGCAACCAGCACCCAACAGACAGACTGGTACTATAGTGAACATAGCAGCCAGCACCTGACAGACAAATTGGCACCATAGCAACCTGCACCTGACAGACAGACAGACTGGTACTATAGTGAACGTAGCAACCAGAACCTGACCGACAGACTGGGCACTATGGAAACCAGCACCTGACAGACAAACTGGGACTATAACGACCAAAGCTACCAATGCCTGACAGACAGTCCAACACGGGAGGCCTGTGGCATGTCTTGGCCTCATGTCCATTCCTATGTATTACAACATAAACCCAGGAAAAAGCTTTGTAAAAAGTGAAAATGAGCAGAATTCATGAAATACTTCTAAGTGAATGTTTCACAGCCACAATAATTTGTGAAAATGACAAAATTCATAAGAAAAGTTAGAGCTTTCCATTTCATTTTGGCATGTGGAAGTAATGTTAATTTTGGCATATGAAATTAATGTTGATTTTGCTACATTTGGGAAAACTAAAAATAATTCAGATGGAGGTTTGTTTCTTATATGGATGTATAGCAGTAGAAAACTTGTAACAACAAAACAATTTACAAAAAAAAAATCTGTGAGATTTAGCAAATCTGAAGTAGTCATACTATTCCTGGTAACATTTAGGAAAAAAAAAAAAACCCATTTAAGAGTAGTAAAAGAAACAGAGGTAGATTTATTGGCATGCTGAAATTTCAAGTTCATAATAATGTAATACAAACTCTCTAGACCAGCTGCCTTGGTCCATTCTTCCACACAGTTCTTCCTGAGGCCTTCTGGGGCAGCAGAGAGGTAAGTTATGAATGCAGCAGCCTGCTGAGCTCTTTTGGGGAGGGTAGCTAACTCCTCTGATATTTCAGCTACCTGGAAGAAGACAGTGCAGTGAGGCATTCGTTCATTAGACAGGAAAGCTTCCCAGTGAGGAAAACAACCCAGCATTCACTTAAATAGTAACGCCTGAACAACTTCATCAAAAGATCAGTAAGAATGCAAAGGTTTTAAGAGTTTGAGACACAAGATATTTCTATAAATAAACATGGTTTTTATATGCATGTGCCCCATGCACAATTAAATTAAAAAAATTAAGCAGAAAGTTACCAATAGTGAAATCATGGAACATATCAACAAGAAATAACTGGTGAACAGTATTGAATATTAACCTTATTGCTGTAGTAAAGTTCCCTCAGATCATTGCCCTCCCTGCCCTTCTCATCAACAACATGGGCAAGCCAAAGGGGATCAGGATATTTTCCTAAAGTATGTTCATAAGAAAACACTTCGATTAAAGATGAGTTTACTGACTGGTCATTCACGTCTACATTATTTGTCAAAGGTCAAGGCCATCTATAAGGGAATGGGTATTTTTCTAGGGTTCTTTTTTTTTTTTTTTTTTTTTAACAAATCCATTCATTGCACCCAGGCCTCTTGTGTTTGTGGCTCTCTTCTTAGACAAACCTGTGTGTTCCATCGCCGGTGTTCTCTGTCCAGCTGACTAATCAGGACTTCTGCAGCTCTGATTGTCTCCTGGGCCTTGCTGACTTCAGCTTCAAGCTTAGCAGCTTCTGAAGTCCTGCTCTGAAATCTAAGAAAACGTTACCATACAATCAGAGACAAAAACTTAGCCTTGGGACATACTGATTATGTGTGTGTATCAAATACCATTAATAAAATAAACAAGTATGTAAACAAATACACAAAAAGCCTTCCATTCTTGCTCAAGTAGCACTCAGTGGTGGAATATATCCCAAATATAAAGCAGGGGCTGGCATCAGTCCTCCACACCAAAAATCAGTACAGCAGTCTATACTCAAGGACTGGATGTAGCCTCTGTGCCAGGTTTCTCCCAGTGTTTACTCAAGGTCTTGACCCTAAGAATGAGCCAGTCATTCTCTATAACTGTCCTTCTTCCGATTGACTTGCACAATCCTACCTGCTACCATGTGAACTTTTACATGATGATAACATGTTCTATCTTTCAAATCTCCTTGAGCATCTTTGACCCACTTTCTTTTACTTCTTGGCCTAATTCTCTCAAATATCTGCTGCCAAAGTGAAATATCTGGTCCACTGTATATCATCTCTCACATAGCGTCTACATGCCAGATTTTAACAGTCCTTTGTGCATGTCTGTACATGCATGTGTACACTGTGCAGGAAGCCAGATGTCCCTGCTGGGACATCTTCCACAATCACTTCTCCACATTCCATGATAAAAAGGAAATTTGACATACACTTTCTAAGATAAATTTTTATAATTTTTTTCTAAAATTAGCAGAGTTTTGCCTAATAAGAACAAGACCCTGATTTTGATCTCTAGTACCACAAGAAAAACATATAACTTGTAGAGGAGTATTACTATTATTTATTTGGGCTTTTTACTTTTTTCTTCACACAGAATGTTGCATAGCCCAGGCTGCCCTCTAATTAGCCTTATAGCCAAGAATGATCTTGAACTCTGATCCTCTTTGTACATGTCCCAAACACTGGGACCACAGGCATTAACAATCACAGAGCTAAGTAAGAATGGCTTCTCAGTTATTCTCTACCTGTCTCAACTAGAGACTGACTTGAGGAGGAAAAAAATAGTTATAGCCAGGACATGATAATGAGCGGAGACATGCTGCAGTTCCAAACTACACTCACCTTTCTTTGAGTTCTGACACTTTCTGACCAACAGAGTTAAGAAGATCTTCTAGCTTCCGTTTTCTATCTTCAGTTTTCTTCAAATTCCTAAAGTATGATTCAGTGTTAGATATCATTCTATTTCAGATTCCAATATGAAAACAGCCCTTCAGGAAGTGATATTGCAGTAAATGCGACAGAACCACAATAGTTCAGTGTTACGACATTTCTGCACAGATTAATGAAGCAAGGCCAAAATTAAAAGTGAACCTTTTGATATAACTCATATTGCTTCTGGAAACGTGTATTTTAAAAGAATTGTGCAAGAAGATTCTGAAGGAAAAAATAGTAAGCATGTTCATCTATCTTCTTTCAAAAGTATACAAAATGATACCAATGAAATAAATATGTACACCCTGCATACATGACAGAGAATTTAAAGGTGTGGCAAAGCAAAACTTAAAATAAACTTTGGAAAATAAAGACAGATGGACCAGAATAAAAAAGCAAAAATGAGAGAAGGAACAATAAAATAAGCAGAATTCCAAACTGCTCAGATAAAGTAAGCAGCAACTGTCCCTGAAAGGAACAGGAGAGCTAAAGACACAAGCATGTCCAAAAGTTGTAAGATGCACTGAATGCTAGATCTCAACTGCATCCCTCCTCTAAATGAGGACTTTCAAACCAACCCAAAATTCAACACCACTAGCCAGCAATCCGCCAACTCTACCTAGCCCTGTTGACAACACCATATATACAAAACATGACACTTCCATATGGGAACAGTGAACACTACTCTCACTCTAAAAGGCACCTCAAAACTGAAGAGTGGTCATTACTTGGCCAATCTACACCTGAATACTTGGTCCTCACACCAGAAGTGGGGGAACACAAACCACATATTCTAGTGTCTATGATTGTATGTTGATTTCTCAAATCCAAGGACTGGGCATGCCAAGAAAGCTTCTTCACCAGAACCAAAGCAAATGAACACATGATTACAGGAGGAAGTACTGAGGGCCAGGAAGAAAAGTGAAATAAACATTACACCCTCAAGTGGACAGAGTGAATGTCAGAGAAAAAAAGGGAAACTGAAAGAGACTAATGGGGCAATGGAAATACAAACAGAACACTGCAGCAATGGGAAGACCTCTGGGAAACTAGAACATAGGGGCACAGGTGTGAAAGGTGGGTGGGTGCTCTGTATGCACTAAATGCCAAATCTCTGGACCAAGGGTCTTTCAATAGGAGAGCTTTCTCTATTTTGTATAAAGTGTCATAATTATTACCAGAACCCTGAAATTATCAAGATTAGTTTTAGCGTTCTAACAACAGAATAGAAGAGGTTTTGATCATGAAAATGAAGGAAGGCATTCATCCCACCATCCTTACAGGAGGAGAAGCTTCTCTTGGTTGAAGGCTGGCAGAGTCTCAGGGCTGTCCTAGTGTCTGCCCCATCAAAAGCTAGGGAGATCATTTATTCAGCTAAACATGACAGGAAAAGGAAAGCAGAGTCTTCACAAAAGTATATTTCCTTGCCTTAAAAGAAGCACAACATAAAAAATAATAATTTCAATTCTCTGACCCCCCACACACATTGGAGGACCTTGACCAGGGCTCCTTGCACCATCAGGCCCAACAAATCACCAGACACCCGGTGGCAGCCCCAAACCATCCAACACTACATTTGCCATCATTGGAGCCTTGACCCTGCCCACACCGGGACAGAAAGTCCAGAGGCCTGGGGGCACCCTCCTCACACCCCAAAACATTCAGCATTGCATCTTCCACCATGGGAGCCTTGGCCTTGCCCACACTGGGAGAGGAAGATCAACCACATAAGCCACAGGCCCCACCTATACCAAATGGGGGAAAAGAGACCCACTGAATCACAGGCCCCACCTGCACCCACTGGAGGAAGAGATGGGAAGACGACAGTATAAGAACACAGTCAACAACAGAAAGAGTAATATGACACCACCAGAGTCTAGGGGTTTTACACCAGCAAGACCTGAACATCTCAACGCAGATGAAGCAGAAGAGAATGACCTTAAAAACAGCTTTATGAAGACAACAGAGACCCTTAAAGGAAAAATGAGAAAATACCTTAAAGGAATGGAAGAAAAGACAAAAATGCAAGAAATCAACAAATCTCTTAAAGAAAGCAAGAAAAGCAAACAAAAAAGCAATCAAACAGGTGTAGGAATGAATTCAAAGAGTTGAAGACTTGAAAACTGAAATACAGACAATAAAGAAAACACAAACTGAGGGACTGCTGGAAATAGAAAAACTGGGTAAATGATCAGGAACTACAGATGCAAGCATAACCAACAGAATACAAGAGATGCAAGAGAGAATCTCAGGTGTTGAAGATATGATAGAGGAAATAGATTCATCAACCAAAAGAAATATTAAGTCCAACAAATCTTAATACAAAATATCCATGAAAGACTGGAAAACCATGAAAGACCAAACCTAAGAATAATAGGTATAGAAGAAGTCCAGCACATAGGCACAGAAAACATATTCAACAAAATCATACAAGAAAACTTCCCTAACCTAAAGAAAGACATGAAAATACAAGAAGCTTACAGAACACCAAATAGACTGGAGCAAAAAAAAAAAAAGTCCCCTCATCACATAATAATCAAACACCAAACATACAGAATAAAGAAAGAATATTAAGAGCAGCAAGGGGAAAACACTAAAAGACCACAGATGCCAACCCAGCAAAGATTTCTATAAAGATTACTATACCCAGCAAAGATTTCCATCACTATAGATGGAGAAAACAAGATAGTCTATGAAAAACTGGATTTAAACAATTCATACCCACAAATGCAGCCCTACAGAATGTACTGAAAGGAAAACTCCAACCCAAGGAAGTTAGCTACACTCACAAAAACAGGCAATACATAATCACACATTACCAAAAGCAAAACAAAAAAGGGGGGGTGGACACACATAATACCACCATAACCAACAAATCCAAAACTAACAAGAACCAACAATCAATGATCATTAATATCCCTTAATATCAATGGTCTTAATCCGCCTATGAAAAGACACAGGCTAACAGAATGCATACAAAGATAGAATCCATCCTGCTGCTGCATACAAGAAACACACCTCAATTTCAAAGACAGATATTACTCAGCAGAAAAAAACAAGGGAATATTGAAATTCACAGGCAAATGGATGGAACTAGAAAAAACTATCCTGAGTGAGGTAACTCAGTCACAAAAAGATAACTATGGTATGTACTCACTTATATATGATTTTTAGACATAGAGCAAAGGATCACTAGTCTACAATCCACACTGCCAGAGGAGCTAGGAAAAAAGGAGGACCCCAAGAGAAGATTGCATAGTCGCTCGAAGAAGGGGAGGGGAACAAGAACCCCTGAACAAAGTGGGAGCACAGGGCATGGGTGAAGAGGAAGGAAGTGGGAAGCGAAGAAGGGGAGGGGGAGGAGAACAAGAGGACTGAGACAGGGGAGGAATAGAGGAGGGCAAGAAAGGAGATGCCTTGATAGAGGGAGACAGTACAAGTATGGAAAAAAGTCTGGCACAGGAGAAATGTTAGGGGATCCACAGGGATGACCCCAACTAAGAATCCAAGCAGTGGTGGAGAAAATGCCATTGATGCCCTTTGCCTATAATGAGATTGGTGTCTACCTTGGTTACCATTCCTAGAGCCTTCATCCAGTAGCCGTTCGAAGCAGAAACAGGCACCCACAGCTAAGCACTGAACCATACTACTGGAATTCAGTTGTGGAGAGGAAGGAGGAACGAGCAAAGGAGTCAAGACGGGGCTGGAGAGACCTGCAGAAGCAGTGGACCTGACCTAGTGAGAGCAGAGAGTCCCTAGTCATAAAGCTGGGGAAACAGCATTAGACAAAACCAAGCCCTCTGAATGTGGGTGCCAGCTAGGAGGCCAGGGCCCTCCCCCAAATGGTATGACAGACTTTGAAGGTCCCTGGTAGAGGGCCTCACTATCCCTGGGGAAGAGTTGGGGGATGGGCTGGGGGGTTTGGTGGGGAACATGGAGGATGAGAGGGCGAGGGAATGGAGGATGGATATGTAAATATGAGTGGTAAAGAATTTAAATTAAAAAAAATACAGGGAGCCATTATAGGTTTAAAGAGAAAACTGGCACTAGGGAAATGTCCAGAGATCTACAAGAATGACATCAACTAAGATTCTAAACAATAGTGGAAAGGCTACTTTAAATGCCCTTCCCCTATAATGAGATTGATGACTACCTTATATGCCATCATAGAACCTTCATGCAGTAGCTGGTGGAAGCAGAAGCAGAGACACACAGCTGGGGAAACCCACAGAAACAGATGACCTGAGCAAGTCGGAGCTCATGGACCCCAGTGTGACAGCTGGGGAACCAGCATAGGATAGAACCAGGCACCCTGAATGTGGGTGTCAGTTGGGAGGCCTGGGCAGTCTATGGGGCCTAGTAGAACCAGTATTTATCCCTAGCGTACAAATGGGTTTTTTGGAGCCCATTCCCTATGGAGGGATACTCTCTCAGCCTAGATACATGGGGAAGGCCTAGGTCCTGCCCCAAATGATATGACAGACTTTATTGATCCTCTGTGGGAGAACTCACCTTCCTGAGGAGTGGATGGGGGCAGAATGGGGGGATAGTGGGCAGGATATGAGGACGGGAGGGAGAGGGACCTGGGACTTGTATATAAGATTGTTTTAATTTAAATAATAATAATTTAAAATAATAATAATTTCAAAAGCACCATCCTGTCTAGAATTGAAATCTGTGAAATCGGCAGTTCATTTGCAAATGAATTCAAAGTACCAAAAACAGAAGGAGCAACTTCCTGGAAGAATAGAACAACCCCCAGAACCAAACTCCTCTGGGACTACCTGATTGTAGTGAAGCGTACTGCAGCTTCTTGAGTGATAGTTTCACAAATCTACAGCCCAGTATACGCCAATGTATGGTGACCGGTGCAAAAGGAACTACTGAAGGAATAACAATAAATCCCCAGAAGCAACAGGTGCACTGCTATATCCCACACCAAACTGTAAAACTCACAACCCAGATCCCGTTCCTAAAAACTTCCAAAGAGAAAAAACACATACAAAGCATGGGGGAACAAACAGCATAGCTTTTCAAAAATCAAAGCTGCAGAAATGGGGCTCTACTCTGCAAATGGGTTTCTGCACCAATAGAAGAGGGGTTGGTGTAGGGTGGCAGAGCTGGCCAAAGAAACCCATTCTGGCTCTGAACCCAGAGCCAGTGAAAGGAAAAAACCCTGGATCTGAAACCTGGGCCAGTGAAAGGAATGCTTTTATCCCTGAACCCAGATCCTAAGAAATATACCAACTCTGAAACCAGAGCCAAAGGAACATAATTTGCCTTAGAATCAGAGCCAGTGAAAGAAATATGCCCTGGTCCTAAAATTAGAGCCAAAAGGCTAAAAAAGACCAGTGAAAAAAACAGTTTGGCCCTGAAATCAGGGCCATCTCTGCCCAGACAAACTAAACTAACCAATCCCTGAGCAGGAAAACTAACCAATCCCTCAGCAGAAAAACTTCTCCGGGGAAAACTCTGCCCCTAAGAAGCCCCTCTGCCTGTTCAGTTGCTGGCTGTCCTCTCCCACCCTGGCAGAAGCAGCCACTCTCCTGGACTCCTCCTTCCCAGATAAATCTCTTTCTCAAGAGTCTTGGGTAAAGATCTTCATTCACCAGCACAAAACAGAAGAACCTAGCTGATATATTCCTTAGGGGCACTGAGCAAAGCTAATCAGAAAAGCAACACCTTTTTTTGCTGGAGCCAGAGGATACTGCTGCATTTCTGCAGGGGCTTCTTCTTTAGCAGAGTGTAGCAGAAGATGTAACATCTTGGGCCCAGAAAGAGACAGACTGCTCTGCTAGGAAATTCTGCTTAGGGGAACAGAGCAGACCACAACTGTAATGACTCTCTTTAGGAGGAAGTGGGATTGCTACATCCTGTGCAGAAACCATCATCCACTGCACCCCAGCTTCAGGTAGCCTGGTTATAAGTCAGAACCCCTTTCCCTCCAGGGCTGAGCTGTCCTATTGTGGCTCTAGCATACAGTGCTGTCCTATTGCAGCTCTACCCCTCCAGAGCTATCATTTTGTGGCTCTAGGTAGTCTGGCTTCTCAGTAAGTTGGGGTATCTTTGCAGCCCCAAAGCTATAACACTGACACTTGTTTACAGCTGGACTTCCATATGTCTGAAATTCCCTTAAGGTTCTGTTCAAACAGGCTACAAGTCCTCCCCTCTCATTTAACAGAAACCAAGGTGATGCTGAAACTCTATCACAACCACACAAAGGAATGAGTCCATCAAAATCACTACAAACAAGTCACTCTGATACTGAACATATCTGATAAAAGAATAAATATGTGAAGAACTCAAAATACTTTTTGTCTCATGTATATTTTCATAGGAAAGAACTAAAAGATATATCCTAGCAAAACAAGGAATTAAAAAAAAAGAATTCATAACAAAATGATGGAACAACAAAAAGAGACAGAGGAATTGCCCAGAACAATGACAACCAGAAGTCCTGAGAGCAGCTTTAAGGGGGACTTTAGAAGACTAATTCAAGAAGAATCACTAAAGAACAAAGAAAACCACGAGATCAGTGACTATGCTTCCGGGTTTGTGTTGAAAGATGGCAGAGGGATGGATGAAGCATGCTGTGTGTCTTGTTTACAAAGTCCAAGATTTGAGGCTCAGTCTCCAGTAAGTAAAAAGAAGGAGAACAAGACAAAGATGTACAAGACAAAAAATAAACTCATAAAATACATATCTCAACAAATGAAATATTTTCATTGTCAAAATATAAAAGAACATGATTTAATACAAAATTTTCATATAATTAATATTGAAAAAATTAAGTAATGATTTTTCTCTAGAATGGGTTTGTAGGTAATGTCAAAAGGTAATGACACTTTGAACAAACCTCTTAGTCTGCATTTAGAATTAGTAACAGTAGCAAGTAATATCTCCAAGCTCCAAAGTTAAGTAGTTGAGTATTCTTCCTATCTGCTCAGATACTGTTTAGGGAAATCTATCGTAAACATTGCACAGAACATCAATGTCAAAATAACATTACACAAGTCTACATGCTCAGCCACTCTTTTCCTACCCTGGCTCTTCTGAAGAAATGGCTGCCTATTCACACAGGAGAAGCCAGTGGCTTTTGGTGCCCATGCTTGAGTAGGCTGCTGTTTGAATCTGTTCAATTCTTACCTTGGGATTTCACTCACTCATCTGAAAGCTTACTTTGCCAGCTGCCCTTTTAAAGTAGAGGCAAAACAAACACCCAAAACCAAAATAAATACAAACACTCTAATACATGCGTCAAACTGATGGCAATGCAGGTCAGAGCATCTGTGCATTGTGCTATACTTACGACTCTAATCCTGACTGCTCTGTTTCCAGAGGCTGGATCCGCTCCAAGACATGGGAGTACTGTACATTGGCCTTAACCCAAGCAGCCAAAGGCGCAGCCGCAGTGCTGGCACGCTTAGCATTCTGAAAAAGTCATCACAAAGTACTCCATACCTGACTTAACATTAGATAAACATAAAATTAATGCTGACATTTTATCTAAGCATTCATTGAAAGAAAGAAGAATTTATGAACTCTACTTGCAGCTTAAAGTCAATATCTTTTAAGCACACTGGACCTTGCAGCAGGCACACGCACATGACTGCTCTGCCTCCTTTATAAAGAGGGCATGTGTCCTTTTCCTTCTACATTAATGAAAGCAATTATGAAAGCTATTACTGGTGTCAAAGAAGAGTTAACATTTAAATAAAGAATTTAATAGTATCAGAACCATTGAAGTTACACTTTATTGAAATTTGATACAAGTATAAGGAAACAGATGGCCATGACTCCAGAAGCACCCAGCAGAGGGAAAAAGCAACACTGCTAATGATGTGGGAAAAAAGAAAGAAAAGAGGATAAGCTGAGGGTAAACTCTAGATTCGAAGCCCATATAGGGCAGCAAAGTTGAAGCTTTGTTTTGCCTTAATTTTTGCTTTTAGATCATCTAGACAATGGTAATAACAGAGCATCCCACAGTGAAGAGCCTAAAAAAAGCATAAAAAACAAACTACCTTTGGATCGAAAGAGGCTTTGTTTTTGAAGAGAAGCTCCTCCACACTCTCTCGTATCTCCTTCGGGATGTTCCGTGCATCAAAAGTTGCAATATCTTCTCTCACGCCCCTTTTTGCAAGGAAGCTAGGAAGAAGACACAATAATTCAAATATGGCCAACTAAAAACTGTTCTTTCTGAATAAACATGGTAGGACAGTACTTAAAGCTAATTAATTAACAATAATAGGATATGAAGATTTGTGGGGAAGAGCTAATAACTATCGTGTTTTAAAAATGACTCCTTATCATTAGTGTGGATCTCAACAGCACAAACCCCAACACTAATGTTCTGGGGGAAACTTGGAGCTATGTAGCCCCATGCCTTGTTAATTCTCAGTCCTTTCTAGCTTCTGTCTGTATTATTCTAACTCCTCACTCCTTCCTGAGTCTCTCTCTTACCTTCCTTTGTCTTCACCATCCTCTGTTTTCTCTCTTTCCCCCTTTTCTCTAAACCATCAACAAAGTACAAGACTATCAGAACAGTGATTACAATGTCTTCATCAGTAACTGTAGTGAAATCGTGATGCTTTTCTATGTAAGGGTTAAATAAATTATTAAATGTGATGGCAAGATTCTTGGGCATTCCTCTCTTCCTTGGTTAACACTGTGAATAGTCACTTGCAGAGAGAAGATATTTAGATTTTTAGATGATCACACATATTTTGAAATTTCAAGGTATCCTGTGTACTATATACTTAGATAGAGTAGTTTCAGAAATAATAAAGAAAATATTAAGAATGGTCCATAAAAAGTCTGATAGGCAGCCATTATGCCAACCACAGCAAGTAGACCAACCCAAGACAGGTACCAGAGTACAGCAGTAACTGCCACAGCTGCAGAAGAGGTGGAGGCAATGTGACTGTAACAGAAGCATTCACTATGTCTAGGGAGGGGATAACATCTGCTGACATCTGCTGTTCAGGAAGCTGAGCCCCATTTCAGGAAGGCAAAAGCACAGATCTAAGAGGTGCTGTACTAGAGATAAGTCTTCTAATGGAAAGGAAACAATAGGCAGTACTGGAGATAATTTGGGTTAGCTCTGTAGATGAAGAATATGGATGTCACTTGGGAAAGAACTTGTCTGCTTTTCATGACCAAGTTCAGTTTCCACTGTGAAACATGCCCTCACAGTTGGATGCTCACTATGGGTGCCCTCACTGTAGGATGTCCTGAGGTGGGCTGCTCTTACTATGGGGTGCTATCACAGTAGACTGTCTTTGTGAGGGACATCCTCACTATGGGATGCTTTCACAGTGGACAGTTTTTATGGAGGACATAATCACTATAGGATGCTATCACAGTGGACTGTCTTTATAGGGGACATCCTCACTATGGGATGCTATCACAGTGGACTGCCTTTATGGGGGACACACTCACTATGGGATGCTATCACAGTGGACTGTCTTTATGGAGGACATACTCACTATGGGATGCTATCACAGTGGACTGTCTTTATGGGGGTCATCCTTACTATGGGATCCTATCTCAGTGACTGTCTTTATGGTGGGGCATCCTCTTGGTGGGACACTATCACAGTGAGAACACTCACTTCCTAAGAAAAAGTGTTGAGAACAGGATGGACATGTGAACACTATGCTCTTCAAAAGTAAGAATATGAAACCTCTTACTAATAAATATTGGGATACATGATGAAAGGAGTGAGACCTGGAAAAATAATGTGACCATGAAACACTGTCAGAACAATCTGTCTCTTTCGCAAGAGACAAAGTCTTGGGAAAGGGATGTCCTGACTCAGGGAATAAAGAAAGACCTAGAAGATCAAATCAAGTCTGGTTTTAGATTAGGAAAAATCAACTCTAAACAGGGATCCTTAGCTCTAAGATAACGAAATACAGAGCCAGACAGATGTTAATTTAAAATTTTCTAGCGGTGATTAGAGACAAGTTACTTAACTTGTTCAGACTGAATTTCTGTAAAAATGGAATGAGAACATTCACGTCACATAGTCATTATTGTTTGTCAAAAATGGGAAAATGAGCATCAGATATAACAGTGGGGGCTGGAGAGATGGCTCAGTGGTTAAGAATCCTGGCTATTCTTTTAGGTCCTGAGTTCAATTCCCAGCAACCACATGGTGGCTCACCACCATCTATAATGAGATCTGGTGCCCACTTCTGGCCTGCAGACAAGACACTGCAAACATAATAGATAGATAGATAGATAGATAGATAGATAGATAGATAGATAGATAGATAGGTAGATAGATAGATAGATAGATAGATGGGCTATACAATGAGTTCAGGTTAAGGCTAACGTGGTTTAATAATGAGGTGCAGAGCCTCTGGAAAAGTTTTTTGGCAGAAATCTAGTTAAGTCCATTGATGTAGGCTGGAGAAGTCCAGGGACGCTGGGGGCAGCTTAGAGGATGCCTCATGAGACTACAAACACTAATAAATGGTCAGAAGCTTGTGTACATCTTCTTCCCTGCTGGAGATGCTGTGTATGGCTACCTGTAAAGGTCACAGTTGGTGGAAGTAGAAGCAGACACCCATAACTAATCACCGATCTGAACTGGAACCCAGATGCAGAGAAGGACCAGTGAAGAGCACAGGGGTCTAGACCAGGCTGGTGAAACACAAGGAAACAGCTGACCTGAACATCTGGGAACTCTTGCGCTCCAGTCTGATAGCTGGAATACCAGCATAGGACTGATCCAGACCCCAGGAACATGGGTTTCTGTGAGGAAACCTCAGAAATCTATGGGACCTCCTGTAGAAGCCCAGTATTTATACCTAGCATAGGTGTGGATTTTGAGAGCCCATTCCATATACAGGAATACTCCCTGAGCCAAGATACATGGGGGTGGGCATAGGCCCTATCCCAAAGGATACGATAGACTCTGATGATCCAGGGGGAGCAGAAAAGATGTGTGACAGATAAGGTTTTAGTTGGGGGGGGTAGGGGAGGACGGGTGGGAGAAGGGAACTGGGATTGTCATGTAAAACAATCCTGTTTCTAATTCAAATAAAAAAAGTTGGAAAAAAAAAAAAAGAAAACACACACACACAAAAAAGGTCACAGTTTAGTCAAAATGGCAGATACAATTTTAAGGTATCCCAGAATTCAGGTTATCACGGACTGCTTTGTGATCAAAAAAACTGTGAGCAAAAAGCAGAGCAGAAAGAGTTTAAAATCCTGCAGTTTCTCAAAAAAATAGAATAAGGCTGGAGCCAATAAATAACAATAATGATATAATAATGCCATAAATAATAATCAGCAGCCAGCTGAAGGGATTTGGGGCTATTAGAAAACAACAACAAACAAAACAGCGCATTGCCCTGGGACAAGGCAGATAAAGTTTGTTATGATCTCAAGCATCAGCAGACCAAAGGTTGTAAAGGCTTGATCTCATCTCAGATGCTGCTGTGGGCAGAGAGCTCTGTGGTACCTTGCTCTCACGCAGCTCCCTGTGACAAGTGTTTCCCTGAGATCAGTTACAGAGGGACTCAGAGGCATCAGCAGACATCATCTGAGGAGGCCCAGCTAATGCTTAATGGAAACCTGGCATTGTCCATGTGATTGCAGGGTTTGAAGGCATCCAGCATGCAAGAATTATGGGGTAACTGGATTTCAAAGAAAGTGCTGGAAGCTATGGAATTTATAGCAAGCCCTGAGAGGGTAATGAGTGAAACTAAAGATAAAGTGGAGAACTAAAGAAGTTAGAGGTAGCAGAAACATGGAAAAATGCAGACAAAAAGTCATCCCCAAAGTGGCCATGTAGGCTGAACGTAGCACAGGGCTGCCCAAACCCTTTGTAACTTACACAACAAACACAAATCCCAGATGCTATGCATGGAGCTGGGGAATTTAATGTTTGTCATACTGCCTACAGACTTGCTTTGGTCCCAATTCCTTCTGTGTAAGGAATTATACTGTGTCACTGTGTGTTCATCGTATACAGCCTGCTTTTTAATCCTATTAGAGCTAATAGCTAAAAGATTGCCTAGATTCTCAGGAGAAACTCTGGACTTCTGATCAATGTCACAACCATGAAATCTAAGGGTCTCATGTAGATGGACAGAGCATACTTTATGATGGAATGCCGTTCAGGGACCAAGAGGGTAGAATACTATGGCTTAGGAAATGTGTTTGGGTGCCAAGCTGACAAAAGGTGTTGAAACTTGCGATGGTTAGTCTTGACTATCCATCTGAGAGGATGGAGAGGTGACTGGGAGGTTAAAGCACAGCCCTGGCACCTCCACAGAGAGCTGCTGGGCAGCACAATCCAATGTGCAGAGCACCAGACAGAATGAAAGGACACATCACCTAAAGCAAATATCTTGTCTGCTTACTGGTTCTAGCAATGTGAGCTGCTCTACCCTTCCCTGCCATGAAAATACCACTATAACTGTGACCCAAAACTATATGTCTATAGGCAGATAGCGTTCATTGGTGGAAAAAAAGACATTTTGTACAAATTAAAAATAACTTACCTTTTCATGCTTACCCATGATGTATCAAAGATCCCCATCAACCTCAAAACTCCTTCAAGAATGTCTCGGATTACATCTGGTGGCATGCGCAGTGAGCGGATTTCTGAGAGAGACTCTGGTCTAATGTTTCCAACAGCTAGCTTAGCTTCATTGACTAGAGGCTAAGAGACAGACACATCAGAAACTGCCAATGTATGTGCTTTTAAAGATCAGTAACATTTTACAGATCACATAATACATATTGGCATTTTAGTGTAATGGCGATAGGTACTAACCGTCTTCTTCTTTTAAACACACAAAAGAAAACAATGTCCATACTAATCAAGTAAAACAATCTTGCCACCATGACTGCACCTTCCTAATTTAGCAAACCTAATTTGCTTTGAAATACTTTTCCATTTTTCAGAGGGATTTGTATTGTAAGAAAAGTCTAGTCACTTAGTCAAGTCTGGAGAAACAGATTTAACAAACAGCCTGTCTTGATTCACCCCAGCAGGCTCTCCTGCTAACTTCTACTTCCACGTCTAATATGTCAGACACAGACCACACTAGCAACAGTGCTATGAAATAAACTGAGCCACAATAACACTGAAGCTCAAATATGTGAAAGGAATATTCACATTTAGTTATAATATGTATTTTTAACTTACTTGTACTTCTTTTAATTCATCATCAATTTTACTTTTTCTTTCTTCAATTTTAACAACTTCTTCTGCTATTTTCTGTTTTAGTCTTTCAAGTTCTGTCTTTTGCTCACTAGCATCCTGCAGGAATAGTTAATCGACATTACAATCACTTATAATGTACTCAGTGTTCAAAACATGACAAAAAATCATTAACCTTTCTTAAAATAATGTTGCCTAAGTTTTTATATTAAGTTTTGGTCAGTAGCATGATGAAGGCATTTTCTCAATTGAGGGTCCTCTTTCCAGATAACTCTAGCTTGTTCGAGCTGACAAAAACGAATAAACCAAGCAGGACAATTCGAAAGTATATTTGAGAAATAGATAAAAACAGAATGATAGCACAGAGGTCTAGTATGATTTATAAGTTGTCTTCAAATATTATCTCTATTTTTACCACCATCAACAAAACAGAAACAAGGAATAGGAAAATCACTAAATTCATTCTCAAGCCTGCCTTATTCTGCACCTTCAAAACCAGGTTGAAAGGGCAGATTTCACACATAACGGGCAGCTCAAAGGAGATTCAGCTGCAGAACACAAGGCGGGTGGGCAGCTTCACAGCCCTCTGAGGCTGGAGGTAAAAATGACACACTGGGCAGAGCATACATGACACCCAGGCAAAGGAAGAACTGACGAGCTTCCTTGGAATAAACTCAACAGAAGAAAGGTGATGCTTAGGTAATATAACTAAATTGAACATATCATCAAAGTCTAAATGTGATTTTAAAAGGTATTTCATGAATCTTGAAAGTATTAAACAAAGGAAATGTCAAAGTCTGAAGGAGAGCTTAAGCTAAAGGAGATATCTACTTACCAAGGAGAATGTAGACAACATCAGTTGCATACAGGTCTACACTGATTTAATATACAAATAACTAATTTACGTGAGCATGAGGCACCTGGAGGTGGCACCATCAGTGTGAGCAATATGGGAAGTAGCATGCATGTCCTCTAAAGCTCAATGTGAGCCAGTATGAATGACCAATCCCTTTCAATCTAAGTTAAAAATCTTATTTTTTGCACCAACTGACAAGCAACTATAGATGTCCTCCAGTTGTTTATCAACTGGCACCAGACCCTCCCCAAACATCACCTGCATGGACACAGTGATCTCCTGAAGGGCAGCATCGGCTTCGTCCTGCTTCATTCGAAGCAATATGCTCTGCTCACCGGCCTTTCTGTTCAACTCATCCACGAGAGCTTTGGCTTCATTTAGTTTAGACACACCAGCCTACATCAATACAACATTGATTGGATATATATATATGTATGTATGTATGTATGTATGTATGTATGTATATATATACACATATACATATATGTATATATATGTGTGTGTGTGTGTGTGTGTGTGTGTGATATACAACAAAATACAATGTTCAACTTTCTAAATATACATACAGGAAAGTCCTTCATGAAACAATCAAATAAAGAAGGGGACCTTTTTTTTTCTTAGTGCTAATTAGAATGTTTTATTAAGTGTCATATCCATTAAGATGAAATAAAATACTTGGCAGAAATGTAATGGAAAACACACTTTAAATTGGTAGTTCTCAACCTGTGGGTTGTGACCCCCTTGGGGGCTCACATATCAGATATTTACACTGCTATTCATAACAGTAGCAAAATTACAGTTATGAAGTAGCAATGAAAGAATTGTATGGCTGGGGTCAGCATAGCATGAGGAGCTGTATTAAGGATTCATAGCATTAGGAAAGTTGAGAGGCACTGCTTTAAAGCCTGACAGTGATGCTGAACAGAACAACATAATATTCCATAATCTAATTAGTGGACTGAATCTCCTTTTTTCATTTGTATGTGACAGAAGTAAAAGGAAGAGTCAGTGCATCGTTCAGTCTGTAGCCAGAGGGGTCTTTCTTATAGCAGGCTGGCTGTGTTTACCTCACACACAGTGCTGGTGGACATCACTAAAAGTATGCCCTGCTCTGCATGGCCATTTGACCTGGAGTGGCCATTATGGTCCTCTATCCTTCTCCAAAGTCTCTAATCTAACGGAATATCTTCCGTTAAGCAAACTTGCTTTCTGTCCTCTATCAGATTTAGAGACAGTCAAGGAGAAAGGAGAATTTAAACAATATTTTCTGAACACCTAAACAGAATATAGGTATCACACAGAATTCTCTCTCTCTCTCTCTCTCTCTCTCTCTCTCTCTCTCTCTCTCTCTCTGTGTGTGTGTGTGTGTGTGTGTGTGTGTGTGTGTGTGTGTGACTCAATGAAGGAACAATTCCACAAGTTTAAATAATTTACCCAAAGCACCATTAAGAAATAAATCAGGACATCAACCCTCCCCACATCATCTTTAGTTACTGGCTTCACAGCCTCTTAGTTCCCCACTTTAGCTAACGCACTAAGACACTACTGTGGAAGACACTACATACTTTGGTTACAGGATAATGAGACATCAACCTTGAACTGACTCTGTCCTGGTGGCTGGCTCTAACACTGCAGGAAGGTGCTATGCAGTCTGCTCGGGGGAGAAAAGTCAGTAGTGGTCTTATTCAGCACTGGACCTTAGAAGCCACACTACAGAACTGTCAGGTGAGAAGCGCTGACTGGTACAATAATGCAAGACTGGATTTGAGGCCTACTCCACAGGATTAAATTGATGAAGGGCACTGCAACCATAGTCAAACCCATGGCTATGGAAGTCATGGGGCCCAGGGGAGAGCCTAGTGATATTGTTTTCCTACCAAAGGTCACATTGTCAAATTCCCTTCTTGTGTTTGTAGGGTAAAAAGGGCCAAGGAAAAACACCCCTAACCCTGACTTGACCCCAAGACTAGGGCTTGAAATCCAACCAATCCCTGAACTTGTCCCAGAGTCAGGCTGTAGAATCCCATCAATCCCTAAGGTTGCCCCAGATCAGGATACAAAACCCCACCAATGCCCGCCCACACAGCAAGAAGCCCTAGATAAGCTCTGTGCCCTGTGCAGCTTGCTGCAGCCTCACACCTTTGAGGCAGCTCCCCTCCCAGATGTTCCTCCCAATAAGTTTCAGTGAGGTTTGTTTGTTTGAGTGGAGTCCAGTTGCAGCAGAACTGAAACAATTTCCCTGAGGAAACTTTCCCCTACTGGAAAGAGTTTTACACTTCACTGGACCTGAGCAGAACTCTTAACACTTTTGCTGGGGAAACCCTGCCCCACCAGTTGTTACATTTCCATTGGGAAAAACCTTTCCCTAGAGCAGAGCTGTGGCATGTACAGTGGCTTTGTGGTATTCTTTGGCTCCCAACTGCCAGGTACCTTTCCATCTGAGCTCCAATGCTCATGGTGTTGGTACCTATCTTGGGCAGAGAAGCTGCTTGTGGTGTTAGGTAATAGTTAATGCAGATGGACATTAATGTTTCAAAGTCAGAGAGAGACTGTTAGTGTTCAGCCATAGATGGGCAGCTATACCAAGCCCAGCTAGAAGACTCAGAACACAAAGGAAGAGGGAAAGAAAGTAAAAGACCAGAGGCTGGAGAGGAGTGCCGTGAAATGCTCTCCTCCAGACATGACACAGCTATTGCACATATGAAATCAGAGCAGCTCTGGTTACCTGACCAAGGTCTTGTGGAAGATAAAGCCAGTTAAAAATTCTAGCAAGGTAGGGGAGGGGACCCTAAGGAGTTCCACTCCTTATTGAAGAGCTATTGGTAACTGATGGCTGCAAGCAGTCATTCTTTTTGAGAGTGTGGACACTGGTAGGCTCCCACATGACCCCACAGCCATATACACATAGGCAGCACCAAATGGACTCAATGGGTTAAGTAAGAAAGAAAAGAAATTATAAGGGAAGATTTAGATAACTGGGTCATAAATTAAGTTGGATCCTATCATATTACCCTACCAGAGAGAAGGTAGAACCTTGGAAAATACTCTCCGGAAAGTAAAAGCTGTGTGTGGGTGGAGGAGTGTACAAAGTGCATAGTACATAGTGCTCTGGACTGAACCCAGCACCCTGTCTATGATCAGCAAATGCTCCACCCCACAAGCTGGCATTTTAAAACCACATGTAAGTTGAGCCTCCATATTTAGAATAATACCCAAAGAAAACTGGTCAGAATGTACAGTTGCTATGGAATACAACTTTATACTGTGTGAAGATATGTCACTCAGATTGGTTTAATAAAAAGCTGAATGGCCAATCGCTAGGCAGGATTTTCAGAGCAGAGAAGAAGCTGGGAAGAAGAAGAGCGGATTCACCAGGAGAGGCAGTGAAAGCAGGCCATGTAGGAGATGAGGTAACAAGCCACAAGCCACATGGCAGGATGTAAATTAACAGCCATCAATTTAAGTTGTAAGAGCTAGTTGAAACAAGCCTAAGCAATCAGCTGAGGTTTCATAATTAATAGAAAGTCTCTGTGTGATTGTTTGGGAGCTGGCTGGTGGGACAGAGAAAGACTCACTACAAGTGCCATCCAAAGTAGGAGCACATGTTTACATGTAAGACCTGAGAAAGGTTTTAAAAAGGTTTGAAACACACAAAAACAGTTTCTTATGCAGGCCAGCCGATGTAGAGTAACTCATCTCCTAGCCACTGTATGCGGGCTTAAGTCACCAGTGTGCAATGAGCCAAGCTGTGCTGTGGTTTAAGATTTTGTTCATGTTGACAGAAGTTGTTACAGACACGCAATAAAGTAGGTTGAAACAGAAAAAAAAAAAAAAAAAAAAAAAAAAAAACCTCTAGAGAGGTTACAGGGTGTTTAACAAAGTGCAAACGCTTAAGAAAATAAAAGGATATAGAGCCAAGTAAATAAATAAATAAATAGTTTAAAAATAGAGTAAAGTCTTTAAAGAAAGAATAAAGTAATAATAATAAAAAAGAAAAAGCCATGTAAGAGATGGAAAATACACAGGGAGTCTGGATCCTGTATGACTTTTGTTTTGATTGCTGATGAGTAAACAATAGCTGCTGAGAGACACTGGATTATAAAAATTACTAAATTAAACCAACCTACATATTTTTAAAATGTCTTAACTTCAAAATGGAAGTCAAAAAATGTTATATTGGGGAAGATGTTATGCTTTTGTTTCCATAAAAATCGAAAGACTGTGAATTCATTCAAGATCGATAGAGATCAGATTTGATTGGGGAAAACACCCTGAAAATACTGGCCATAGACATAAAGAAATAAACCTAACAAACTACAAGACAGGTGACATATTTTTTACTTGTTGAAACAGAAAACAAAACAAAAAAATCATCTTTGGCTGGGTTGTGTACAATGCACAGCCTATACTTGTGTTAGTGCAGATAAGTATGTTAAATTTGAAAGTTTATGTGTTTTCAGATCAAGGGGACCAGACACCAATGAAAATGGGTGGCCTAGGTGATCCAGCCTCTCAGAATATCTGTTTCAGTTCCTCAGAGTTTTGCATCCAGAGCAGTTTCAAGGCTGCTGACTAAGTTGGTCCAGCCTCACAGACTATTCTAGCCAGGACTTGACCATTATCCTAATTTCTTCAGGGTCTCTCCAAAATTCCAGCAACCCCGACAGCAGGAAGCAGCCTAGAGAAACAATACCCACATTCCCAAGAAGTGGGGTGGGTGTGTTTTGGTCGTTCAATATGCTATGAATGTGCTATGAATGTCTGTCATAATTTAGGGTGGTTGGTTACAAATCTTCACTGGTCATGGTCAGGGAGAAAAGTAAACAAAAGAGACAGATTCAGCAATCTCTTTCTGAAGGGAAAAAGAGAGACATTGTATATAGAAATGATGACATAAAAAGGTGGATTGTTACATCTATTTTTGAACAACCACTAGTCTCAAATATTTTAAATTGGCATGGATTTTGGTACACTGACACAAATTTAAGTTATTTTTGTTATACTGTATTATATGTTTGTGTTTCTTGTTTAAGGTATTGTACCTATGCAGCTTCTCTATAAATGAAATGTAAAGTTCTAGTCCTTGAAAGCTATTTAGGATAATAAAAAAAAAATACAGATTAGTAGTTAGTCATCTATAACAATCAAACTTATCGTCATAAAACGATGATAGGTATCAAAGAACCTCCATATGCAGTTTGCTTTCTTTGTGGCAAAAGCTAGCCCTTGCCTTAGCTGCTAACAGTATGCTGTCAAACTGGATAAGTAAGACACAAAAGAAAGTGAGTGCCAAACTTTGCCAAGACAGGGTAGGACAGTCCTTCAAAAATTCCTGCTTCACAGGAAAGTCTGTCAGATATTCTAACCCAATAGGACAAAGATTGATGCCCCAACACTACAGAGAAACATTGGGGTGACTGTCCAGGCAGCGGATGTCTCTGTTGTTTTGGAAGTGGTTTGCACTGCACTTCCTGTTTACTCAGGTAATACTATATCCTTCTGGGGTCTTTGATAGAGCTGAAGATGAGAGAGTAATAGTTATAGTTTTTCTTAGTTATGATAGAAGGCAAATTAAGTACAGAGCTTTGGACTCATCAAGAGAGAATAAATAATGGGGTATTTTTCCAAATATGCCAAATACAAATAGATTGAACACTACAAATATAATTCTTACCTGAAAATTGTTTTTATTACCTATAGCTTTATTATGTTAGAGTTAAAAACTTTCCTTGTTATTAAGACAAAAAGGGGGAAATGTCATGGAATATTCCTTTACACTGTGTGAAGATAAGTCACTCAGACTGATTTAATATAAAAGCTGAACAGCCAATGGCTAAGTAGGATTTTTGGAACAGAGAGGACTCTGGGAAGAAGCACAGAGTTGCCAGAAGGAGGCAAAGGAAGCAGGTTATGCAGGAGATGAGGTAACAAGACACGAACCATGTGGCAGCATGTAAATTAATAGACATGGGTTAATTTAAGTTGTAAGAGCTAGTTAGAAACAAGCCTAAGCTATCAGCTGAGCTTTAAAAATTAATAAGAAGTCTCTGTGTGATTGTTTGGGAGCTGGCTGGCGGGACAGAGAAAGACTCACTACAGAAGTGGCATGAGTAAAAACATTATTTTATAATATAATACAATTTCAGTTTCATAATGTCAAATAGTAATCTCTCCAATAATATTAACAAAAGCACATTTTACATTTCCTTTGTTTTCTTTCTTTTTTCTGGTCTCCTAAGACAAAGATTTACTAATTAGCCCAGGCTAGCCCAATCCTCCTGTGTCAGTCTTACAAGTACTTGGATAACAAGCTGGGATTATGCCCAGTTAAATAATGGTTTCTCAATTTCTAAAATGTTTTCATGTAAAAAAGACCCTCTGGGAGGCAGAGGCAGGCAGATCTCTGTGATCTCGAGGACAGCCTGGTCTACAGAGCAAGTGCCAGGATAGGCTCCAAAGCTACACAGAGAAACCCTGTCTGGAAAAACCAAAAGAAGACCCTCAAGGGCAGCACTATACCAGTGAAAAATTAAATGTTATCCCTTAAAAGTGAAATAAGTATTAATGAAGAAAAACACCTTAGTATAAATCTAGTGGGAAACACTGTATGGAAGTATAATTGTTTCTGGAGGGTTTATTATGCCTTATTTACTTATGCTAAATAGATGTCACATGCAGCATAGCATTGTGGTCCACAGAGTCATTCCCAATAGGCAGTAACTCCATATAATAACTGAAAATTAAAACTGAAATCTTCAAGATTACCAATACTATACCTGTAAATGACTTTGTCTTTTCAGTAATTCCTTTTTCTTGCTGCTGCTGATGGCAGAATACACATGCAGAAAGGTCATGTACCTGCTCGGGGTGGCCCCATATGCTTTACAAGACTCGTGGATTAATAAGAATGATTTTAGAAAGTCAGGATCAACTAGAAAACACAGGAAGCAAGTTATTTGTAAGTATGATGCGTTAAAAATTATATCAAATATCTGGGTGTTGGTGGCGCTTGCCTTTAATCCCAGCACTCGGGAGGCAGAGGCAGGTAGATCTCTGTGATTTCAAGGCCAGCCTGGTCTCCAGATCGAGTGCCAGGATAGGCTCCAAAGCTACACAGAGAAACCCTGTCTCAAAAAACAAAAAAAAATAAATAAAAATAAAATACATCAAATAATCTTACTTACATCTCAGATACCCCATTCTGTATAGTTATAAACATAAAACCTTAAAAACATAAAAGCTATGCTGCTGAAGGATCTGAACTCTATGATGACAGTGGGCTCTATCTTTCTGCTGTTATTCATTCCTCCCATGCAGTGCTATTGCTGTAAAATCACTCTACTGGTTATCATAACATTATAAATTAATTATAACTATATTATGCATGTAATCAAAAAGTCAATATAGTAAGAGCTACTTGAAATAGAAAAGGGATTCTAAACCAAATAAAATCTACTCATTTGATAGAGAAGAAGAGAATACTTCAAATGTATTTCAATCTATCTGTGATCAAATACATACTCCCTGTCACTGACTACATTCCTCCCTGCAGTCAAACTTCTAATTACTTCTTAAGCAAGAAGCCAGTGAGACACTCTTGACTCCTCCTTTCTTGTATGTCACAACCATCACACATTCAAGCCTTGTGGCAACTACTTCCCAATACCCTCCAAGTCCATCCTTTTCTGTCTACCTTACCTCTTCCTGGGTTTGTCTGCCCCACATCATAGAAGTACATGTCAAAAGTGTTCTAGTTACCTTCCATTTTCCCCAATAGCTGGAGAAAAAAGTGGGGTGGGGTGGAGGTGGGGAGACAGACCTAGAGATCCTAAAAGGAAATCCTAATCACATTGCCACCAAAATCTCCCAGAAGCTCCAGATCACTCACTAAGCAGACTGCAAGCTCAGTACAATATGCTAACTGTTCATTACTGGCCCCGCCCACCCCTTTCCACTTCACTGAAACTGATCCAACCTCTGTTCCAGATCTTTCCTCCACTTGTTTCCAGTTCCATAGAAATGCACGCCTGTGCTGCTTGTCCATCTGTCTTCGGATCACACACTGAGCAGGGTGCCTCTTCCAGACTGGCTCTTTAGAGCCTGTCTGCTTCTACAGTACTTGCCATGCCAACACTGCACTTTCCAACACCCTTTAGAGGAACTGCTACCACCGCTTTCCTTCCTACATCAGAATTTAATGTCTATGCCCAGCACAATTCTTGTTTTCACTAGGCCACTAGCTCCTTCAGTCAACAGCCCTGTATCTAGCATAAAACAAGCTCAATAAAATGTTTCATGGTTAGATGCTTGTGTCAAAAACAAATATGACTATGATATAAAAATTGCTTATTCAATGTTAATGTGGAATAATATTACAATTGAGAGACTATACCTTCTGTACTCACACTATATCACAAAACTTTTCTGAACTTAAATGAAGTTATATAACACATCTGCAGATCAAAATCAAAACAATATAATCAGGACTTCAACTTAGTAGGTCAGAAAAATAATTGTGTCTGTGAAAGGTAGGGAATGGAGCGTGTGCGTGAATTCACAGGGGCTCACGTGTACATGAAAGCCCACATGCACACGGGGCTAAAGAACAACTTCAAGACTCGTCTCAGCCACGCAGCCAGGTGGCCTGAGTATCCAGCGCAGGGATCTTCCTGCCTCTGCCTTCCTCACAGGGGTTATAAGCAAGGGCCAATACCAGCACTTCCGTGAGTCCTCAGTGAAACTGGAGCCTCATGCATGCATGCAAGCAGGGTACTGAGACATCTCCCCAGACCCTAGGAAAAGTAATTTTTGAATTTCTAACATATACATACTCTTTTAGCTCCTACATGACATAAATTTAACTTAAAAATGAAAAGAGCTTCAAATTTTAATATGCACAAGAAACCTGACGGTTAACAGTTCACTGTGGAATATCCCTTTACACTGGGTACAGATGTGTCACTGTAATTGGTTTAATAAAGAGCTGAATGAGCAATAGCTAGACAGGAAGAGATTAGGTGAGATTTCTGGGGATAGAGAGGACTTAAGAATGGAAGAAAGGCAGGGTCACTAGCCAGATGCAGAGAAAGTAACATGTTCAGTATGGAGAAATGAGTTAAGGAGCCACATGACAGAAGATTAAAAGAAATGGATTAACTCAATAAGCTAGTCTCCAAACAATCCAATTAAAAAGTGGGTTACAGAACTAAATAGACAATTCTCAATAGAGGAATTAAAATGGCTGAAAGACACATAAGAAAGTGTTCAACATCCTTAGCCATCAGGGAAATGCAAATCAAAACAACTCTGAGATACCATCTTACTCCTGTCAGAATGGCCAAAATCAAAAACACTGACAGTTCATGTTGGAGAGGATGTGGAGAAAGGGGAACACTCCTCCACTGCTGGTGGAAGTGCCAACTAGTACAGCCACTTTGGAAATCAGTACCGGCGACTCCTCAAAAAAATGGGAATCAGTCTACCACAAGATCCAGCAATTCCACTCCTAGGCATATACCCAAAAGATGCACATTCATACAACAAGGGCATCTGTTCAACGATGTTCATAGCAGCACTCTTTGTATTAGATAGAACCTGGAAGCAACCTAGATGTCCCTCAACTGAAGAATGGATAGAGAAAATGTGGTACATGTACAAAATGGAGTAATACTCAGGAGAAAAAACAATGGAATCTTGAAATTTGTGGAAAAATGGATGGAACTAGAA